ACTAAACTAAACGCTTCGTGTTTGACACCCATAATTTTTCTTTTTTTTTAATAAATGTTAACTTTTAGTTTGTTATCTTACTCGCACTATTCGTGATGAAAAAATAGGTAACTTGATTCTGTAATCTACATACATCACTCGTAAACCGAACACTCAATGAACCAGATAACGGCCCTGCTCGGCACTTAATCGTTAGAGCATCAATAATAGTGATACTCTCCTAAAGTCTCAATTTATAATATTTTAATATTTTTTATTTAATTTCATTAATTATTTAAATAGTAAATTATTAAATAAATAATAGATCAGTAATATGTGACATGTGGCAGAGACCGTCTCAAGAGTCTCTCTCCCATGAGACATTTCATTACAAAAGTCTCAAAAGATTTTTTTCTTTTAATTACATGATACTCTAAAATATCATCATTAATGATGGTATAAACACACTTTCTCTTATTCTATTGTCACAACTCGACAATCTTATATTATATAAAAGAGAATGCGCGCGATGAGAGTTTGACACGTAGGCAAAATTCCTAAACACTAAATCGTGACATGTCTAATTGTTAATTTAGATTGTGACATCTGTCAATATTAACAAAAATATTTAAAAAAAAAATAAAGAATATATTCTAAACAAGGATTATTGACTAATTAAGAAAAAAAAATCGTTCTACTAAACTATGTAATATTTCCAATATTAACAAAATTAATTAAAATAAAATAAGGAATATATTCTAAACAAAGATTACGGACTAATTAAAAAAAAGGAAAAAAATCGTTCTACTAAAATATGTGAGATTTCTATATTTTTATATTACAAAATACATTCTTTCCATTATAAATTTTATCTAAATAGTTAAAAACAAAAAAATTTCATATTGATAAGTATGATTTTGCTAATATAAACATAACATATAAATATTACATAAGCCATAGAATAAATAAATAATACATATAGAATAAAAATTTCAAATAAATAAATATAAAGATGAATGATATTTAAATAAATTGGAAAAAAAGACAAAAGTTTATAGACGAATGATAAAAAAAGAAGGTATATAAATTAGAAAAACAAAAGTTGGAAAGATTATAGAAACCTCAATTTAAAAGTTTAAAAATATACACAACCA